TAACTGCCTTCTGTTGGTCTGTTCCAACAGTCTTGGCAATCCCCCCTTCCTTTAGAGCGACCTTGCCCTCAAGGTCTAATGCAGGAAATTTGATTGCAGATCTAAGTAGGAAAATTTGAGTCCATGTGCATGAATATGGGCTGATCTGGGTCTCCTCTTTGCTTTGTCAGTGTTGCAAGACTGATGGGCCTTTGGGCCCTTGCATGTCTGCCCTTGTAGATGGGCTGTAGAGTTTCCCGATATGAAGTCCAAGGTGAGACAGGTCCAGTCACAGACCACACGTCCTAGCTGCCTTAACCATTGAATGCCTAGCACCACGTCTGCTCCACTGAGATGGGGAGGATATAGGTCCACCGCAAACTGATGACCCTGAATCTTTAGTGGTAGGCTCATGCAAATGCTATTGCAAGAGAGGCTGTTACCGTTGGCCACATGAACCGTAAAGGCTGTTGTTGGCTGAACCGGAAGTCCCATTTTATCTACCAAGACTTGGGTTATGAAGTTAAGGGAGCTGCCACTGTCTATGAGGATTAACACTTGGTGCCCTAGAATCAGCCCTGCAACACTCATTGTTTGAGGGGACGCAAGTCCCGTAAGGGCTTGTAAGGATATTTCAGGCGCGCCATTGGATTGTATTTCCCAACCTGGGTTAGATTCTCCGCAACCGGGGATGTCGTCTTCCTCTTCGGCATCTGTTTGGAGGAGAAACGCTTGCTATTTCTTGCAGCGATGGCCCGGCCCAAATTTCTCTTCGCAGTTGTAACAAAGACCTTTGTCTCTACGGGCTTGCATCTTTGCCCAAGTCAGCCATTTGAAAGGAACCAGTGGGCCTGGGCCCAGTACTCCTTCCTCCTTGTCTGGTGCTGTTGTCTTTTCTTGCTCCCTTCTTGCTTCTGGACCCCATGGTTGCTGCACCTTTCTTGCTAGACTGAACTTTGTCCTCATACAATCTTGCTAGTGCTGCCGCATTGATGACGGAAGTGGGCTGCATCGCCTTCACTTCCAGTCGCAATTCTTCCTTTAGGCCACCGACGAAGCTTCCCACCAACGCCTTCTCAGTCCATCCTTGGACTCTCACGGCCAGCCTTTCGAACTCCATCTGGTATTCTTTTACTGATCCCACCTGCCGCAGTTTTTCCAAGTTTTCATCAAGATCTTCGAACCCAGATGATCCAAAACGGACAATCATGGCGTCCGTGAAGTCTGCCCAGGTTTGAAGGGGGTGCCCCCTTCGGTACCATTGAAACCAGAGGATAGCTTCCCCTTCAAGATACGCCGAAGCCAGAGCTACCCTATCCTGTCCCGGTGTTTCA